GACCTCTGAGTGATCCCTGATTGGCTGAGCTCTGTCACCTGCCCCACCCTCAGCATCTCCCATCCGGCCTGGGCGATCATGGCGCCATTGTCGATGCAGTACCTGGGGACAAAAATCACGGGTGGGAGGTGCCAGGTGTGTCCCACACGCAGGCCCTGTGTCCCCCCAGGTGTGCCCAGCCCTCACCTGTCATCCGTGGGGCACAGCTCGGCGCCCCGGGCCCGGCACATGGTCTGCAGCATCTCCTGGAGCCGGTGGTTACCTGGGCACACAGGTGTGTCCTGGCACACAGCACCTGGCTCCACCCTGCCCCGTGAACAGGGCTCCCCCCTTTTTATCGGAGCTGGACCCCCCCATTTGCCGCTGCATCTCCCCGTACAGCCACACCCCTTCCACATGTGACAACCTGTGTCTCCCTCCAATGTGTGGCTCTCTCCAGTGTAAAAGTGGCTCCCATAATTGGGGTCCCAAGAGATCCCCGCCCCCTCCAGGGGTGACCACGCCCACCCCCAGGTGAGAGCCCCACCCAACTCACAGGCCACGCCCCCCACGAGCAGCAGGTGCCTCGCCCGGGTCAGCGCCAGCGCCCGCTCSGTCACCTCAGCCAGCATCGCAAACGCTGTCTCCTGCCCAAAATCCCAACAAGTCACAAAATTCTGCRAGATCCTAAATTCCACCCAAAAGGCTCCTTGTGGCTCCCAAACCCCCATTCCCAGACCCCAAATTGCCCCGAAATAGTCATTAATAGGCCTCAAACCCCTCAGAACACCTTTGACAAGACCCCCAGCCCAACCACCCCAAACATCCCCAAAACTGCATTAAAACACCCCTAATTCTCCTAATTACTCCCCAAATYCCCTTAAACCCTCCCCAAAATGCCCATGCTTGATATCCCAAAATCCCACAAACGGTCCCAAATGAGTCGCCATACCCCCAAATATCCTCCCCCAAACCCCTTTAATGAAACCCCAAGCCCCAATTAATCCCCTCAAACCCCACTCAACCCCCCCAAATCCAAGCTTGTGGCCCTTCCACCTGCAGGGAGAAGCACAAATCCTCCTGAGTTGCCTCCCCTGACTCCAACAATTTGGGGGTCACYGCCTGCGGAGCAACAAAAAGGCGGTTTTGGGGTCCCCCACTTGTCTTGGGTTCCATCTGAGCTTTCTAAACCCCCCAGGGGGACTTTGGGGTGGCCCTTGCAGCCACTGCATTGACTTGACAGGGTAGAMCAGATATTCCAAACAGCCGGGTGTCACCCCCTGGATTTTGGGGGCATTCCTGGGACTTGTGTGGTCTTTTTGTAGGATTTCTGGAATCCCAATAACCCTCCCCATGTGTTTTGGGGTCCCTTCCAACGTTTTGGGGTACCTGGAGGTGTGACAGGAGCCCTGAGAAGGACACGTCGAGTCCCTTGACCACGTAGGGCAGYGGGATCAGCCGGCAGCCCCTGCGATCCCACGAGGAAATTTTGAGGCAGTTAGAGAATTTTGGGAATTCTGAGAGGTTCCGGAGAGTTTTGGGGATCCAGAAGGGTTTTGGGGTAATTTCTGGGGTGTTTTGGGGTCACCTCTTGGCCAGCTGCTCCACATTGTAGCCGGGACTGGGGGCGTTGGGGATCTGTGGGAAAAGGGGCAGGGTCAGGGTGGGTGTGGCTGGGTGGGCGTGGCCAGG